CCCCCCCCCCCCGCCCCCCCCCGCCCCCGCCCCCCCCCCCCCGCCACCAGCGCTCGGAGCTGGAGAGCCGGCTCGATCTGCTGCAGCGCCAGCTCAACAGGTACTGCCAAGGGCCGCGGTGCGGGGCACGCACCCAGCTCCTCCGGGGCCGGGGGGCTCCAAACAGGGTCCGCGGTGCAGCCTGTTCCCCGCTCACCCCGGTGCCGTGTGCCTGCAGGCTGGAGACACGCATGACTGCAGACGTGGCCGCCATCATGCAGCTGCTGCAGCGCCAGGCCGCCCTGGTGCCACCTGCGTACAGCGCCCTGTCCTCGCCCCCGCAGCCGCCGGGCCCCGAGCCCCCACTGCAGCCCGTCCTGCCCATCACCCCCATCCAGACGCTCTCTCAGGTGAGGCTCTGCTGCACCCCACCTCAACCAGCCCCACGCTGCAACCACAGCTCCGGTTTCTGTGCCCGTGAACGTGGGGCTCTGGTGTCCCGGTGCCATGCTGGTGCCCCTTGGCCTAGGTCTAGGGCTGTCAAGGCCCTGTGTCTTGGGGTCCCAGGCTCGAGGCTGAGGGTCCCTGTGGCTGACCACCTGGCTTCCTTCGCAGGTTCCCGAGTACCCGGCACCCTTCGACCTGGCTCAGCCGCTGCGGCGCGTGCCGGGCGAGCTGCCCCCGCCAGACGTGGTGCTGCTGGTGGAGCCGGTGGCTCCGGCGCTCCGACGCCTCTCCCTGCCTGGACAGCTGCCCATGGCACCGGGCTCGCAGACCCTGCACAGACACTGCTCCGACCCGGGCAGTTAATTGGCAGGGCTGGGACGGGGCCTGGCCCCGGAGCCACCGCGTGCCGGTGCTGGACAGGCCATGCCTAGGACTCCAGGCCGTGGCCCCCCAGGCGCCAGGGGGTCCGGCTGCACCCCGCGCCTGCCTGTTAGCTGGTCTAGCAGGGCGTGGGGTCGGCACCGGCCGCAGCTGCAGGACTGTTAGACACGAACCGCTTGGTACGGCGCTGAATCTGTAGTGGTACTGTGGGGGCAAGGCCCCCGCCCTGCCCGCCCCAGACATATCGCCAGGCCGCGGCCTTGTCCCCTGCCCCATCCCGCCCCCCGGCACCTGGCCACAGCTGGGCAGGGGCCACTTCTGCTGCAGGTCCCCAAGGGCCCGGCTGCCCTGGTGGGCCAGAGCGAGTGTGTGCGTGCGTGCGGGTGTGTGCGTGTGCATGTGTAGGGTGCACATATGCAAAGCCCCATGTCTTCCTCCCTGCATTCACATGGGTCTGCCTGTACGTGTGTGCCCAGTGCCCTGGTGCATGCGTGTGTGTGTGTGTGTGCACGTGTACCCTGGTGCTTGTGTCTGCGTGTGCGCGTGTGTATGGGTATATATGCATAAATGTGTGTGTGTGTGTGCATGTGCCTTGGCACTTCCATATGTGTGTGCATGTATGTGTGTGTATGTGCGTGCGCCCTGGCGCTTCCATGTGAGTGTATGTATATGTGTGTTTGTGTATGCATGCGTGAGCAGGTGCATATGCCCTGGCGTTTGCATGCGTAGGCCCGTGTGTGTGTGTGCGCGCGCGTGCATGTGCATGTGCCCTGGCACTTGCACGTGCGGGAACCTGTATGTCCGTGTCCAAACCTGATTGGGTCCAGGTCCCCTTGGCGTGTCTGCTTGTACATGTGTTCACATGCACGTGCCTCCTCTCTGTGTGCAGGTGTGTGCATGTGCCTGTACTCAGTTATCCTGGCACACACGTGTGTGTAAGTGTGTGTGTGTGTGTGTGTGCGTGCACCTGCACACCTATGTCTGTTGCCTGTGGGGGTATGTGTATGTGTGTGTGTGCGTCTGCCTGCTGCTCCCTATGGGAGGGGCTGAGCTGTACTGTGTGTGCACACGCGTGTGCTCTGTCACGCCTGGACCACACCCCCCACAGCAGGAGGCGGCAGCTCCTGGCCTGGCTGCTCACCCGATGCTGGGTTGGGCTAGGCCCCCCTGGCTTGACCCTGTCCTCGGAGAAGGGAAACCCTGGTCCCCCCACGCTGGGGCTGCGGGTCCTGGACGTGACCATGACCATGGCCCTGGCCTCGTGGGCTCCAGCAATGGGAGCAGCTTGGCCATGTGGGAGCAGTGCATGCTGGGAGCTGCCATCCAGCCCACCCCTCCACCCCAACCCGGGGTGGGGGTAGGTCTCCAGGCTGGGGCTGGGGGTGAAGCTCCTGCCCCCTGTCCCTGCCGCTCTGCCCCGGGGCGGCGCCGTCTGCCCGCCCGCCTGGCCTGGGGGCCGTGCAGGCCCGTGTAGCATGTGCTGTGTTGTGCCGTCGTCCTGTAGCCGGGCGGGTGCCGCCCGGGCCCGTGTGCCCGCCCTGCATGTCGTCCTCGCCGTAGCCCCCCACCCCAATAAACCGATTTAGCCCGTCTGTGCCTCTGCCTCTGCGCTGCGGGCTGGGGGGGTCACAGCTTGCTGGGACAGGGCTGTGAGCTGGGTCCTGCACCTGGCAGGGGCAGGGGGGCACAAAGGACTCGGGCGCGCAGCTGGGGCTGCAGCGAACTTTACTAGAGACGCCTGTGACCTCCCATGCCCCCTGCCCCAGCCCGGCCTCCTCCCCAACCCCTATCCGCGCCCCCGGCTGGGGGTTTGGTCCCCTTCTATAGGTCCAGGGCCCTAAGGACTAAGGCTCCTGTTGCAGGCAACCGAGCTGAGCGGAGACCCTGCGGCAGGGAGCTCCGCAGGGAAACGTGCCCGGGACGTGCTGCTGAGAGCAGAGGGGCGCCAGCCCGGCCCAGCTCCTCTACCCAGCCAGGGTGGAGGGCAGGGCCCGATCCCCACAGCCGCGGCGCGGCGCAGCTCACTCCTCCCGGTAGGTGCCGTTGTAGTGGAAGGGCTCCGGCGCCACGCAGGGCCCGGGGCTGGCGGGCGTCCAGCGCTGCACCTGCAGGCGGGTGGCGTCAGGGTCGAGCGGGCGCACAATGATGGGGCTGCGCGATGCCATCGACGGGTCCTCGTCGAAGAAGTTGAAGGGGCGCAGGAAGAAGCCCACGGCGTTGCCCGGCGTGGCTGTGTTGGGCACGTCCTCGGAGTGCGGGATGTGCAGGAACCCCACCGTCACCCAGGCCACCAGGTCCTGCCGGGCACCGGTGCCATCACGGTCCCGCACGCACCCACCAATGCCCCCAGCCCTGTGCCAGCTCCCCCCCTTCACCTGCCCGAGCCCCACCCACTTCACCTGCCCATGCAGACCACCCAAGCTCCACCCCCTCTTCCAGGCCACGCCCTTCTGCTCAAGCCCCACCCTCTCTCCCCCATGCCACAGCCCTTGTGCCCCCCTGCCTGAGCCCTGCCCCTTTCCTAGCCCCGCCCCTCACTCCAAGCTCCCCCCTCAGGTCCTCCTGTCCAAGCCCCGCCCCTGGTGCCCAAGCCACAGCCCCGCACCTGGTTCTCGATGCTCTCGTCATCGCGGATGAAGGCCTCGAAGTCGACGAGCGGATCCCAGGGGTCGTGCTGGGTGTAGATGCTGCTGCTCCGCCCCTCGTTCTCGTGGTGTCGTGTCACCGCCAGGTGGTACCTGCCCCGGGGGCAGGAAATGGGGGGGCAGTTATGCCAGGGGCAGAACCCCACTCCTACAACTCTCCATGGGGTATCGGGGAACCCGGCCCAGCTGCCCTGCAGGGCCAGGGAGGGGCCTGACCCACACTCCAGCCCCCCCGCAATGCCCCCCTGGAGGACAGCGCCCCCTGCTGGCAGCACCCACCCAGCTCACCTGCCCCAAGCGAAGCCCTTCTCCTCCTTCCAGCCACGGGGCAGCACAGGGCCGGCGTGGGAGCTGGGCTGGATGCGGTAGCTGCGCCGGTGGCCCCAACGGTTGCGCCTGCCGGAGCTGGAGAAGAGCAGGTAGCGGGGCAGGGGCTGGCGCAGCGGGAAGGCAGCCTGGCGCTCCGTGCGGCGCGGGCGGCGCTGCAGGCGTGGCTGCACCAGCCGCTCGCCCGGGCTCCAGGGAAGGGAGATGTTCTCCAGCTGAAGCTCCAGCGTCTCAAAGTTGTTGGCGGTGCCTGCGGGGAGAGCCCGTGAGCGGTGGGATGTGGGGGTACCTGGGGCGGGGCTCTACCAGGGCTTGTGCACAACAAGACACGGGGCCATGACTCCTGGGGCCCCCCTGGGCTGGGAACAGCTGCATCCCTGCAGGTAGCAGGTGGGAAAGATGCAGGAGCCTGTCCTGAGCTGGAAGGGGTAGGGTATGGGTGGGGGCATCACCTGCGACATCCAGGTCCACCTTGTAGTGCACGAGGTGGGTGTGCATGTTGCCCAGGACGTGGCGCTGGACACGGCTGCCATAGCTCAGCCCCTCAGGGGTGTAGAAGGTGGCGTGGATGTAGCCGGTGGCGTGGACCTTGGCCTCGAGGACGCCGTTGGGGTACAGCAGCACGTCCCAGATGTAGTCATAGTTGTAGACGGTGGCGGTGGTGCGCAGCACCAGGGCAGTGCCCTCCAGCCCCCCGTAGAAGCGGAAGCTGCCCTGGAAGTCGCTGTTGAAGTGGCGCCGCAGGGGCACGCCCGTGGGCAGCTCGAAGACGCACAGCGCCCGCCGGAACCGCACCGGCCCCGCCGTGTCGTACAGGTGCACCGCGTCTATGAAGGTGGCGGACTCGGGGCAGTCCACGCCGGGTGCCAGCTCGTGCGCCAGGGTACCCATGGCCCAGCCGGCGTCCAGGAACTTGGTCTGCATGGCCGAGGGAGTGCTGCCACCGTAGAAAGCCAGCGCCTCCTGCACGCTCAGCTCGTAGGCCACGCGCGCCCCGTCGAAGCGCAGGTCGAACAGCTGCAGCCCGGAGGACGAGCGGAGCCGGAAGGCCAGCGCCCAGCCCCCGTACTCCACCTGGTTGCCCTGCACGCGGTAGCGCCGGCCCTGGGGCTCGCACACCTTGGCCCCGTGCACGTCGGTGGGCGTGTCGGTGCCGAAGCGCCCGCGTGGCACGTAGCTGGAGTACAGCTCGTGTGCATCCGGCTCGGGCAGGCGCTCGGCCTGCAGGCTGCCGGCCGCATAGCTCTGCGCCAGCGCCTCCACGCTGGGGAAGTACCGGCCCTGGAACCACACCTGCTGCACGGCCCAGCGCCGCGGGTCCAGGCTGCGGTGGTCGAGCAGCAGCTCCACGCCCACGGGGTGCAGGAAGTAGCCCTCCACCAGGCGCTGCAGCATGACCCAGGACCGGCGCTCGCCGGGCGCCAGACCACGCGGCGCCACGTCCGTGTAGACGAGGCAGCGCGTGCTGCAGTTGTGGTACGAGTAGCCCGTGGTGTCGCGCAGCAGGCGGGACAGCGGCGCTGTGGCTTCCTCCAGCTTCTGGTGCAGCAGCTCGTACTCCAGGCCCGTGACGGGCCGGGCCGCGAAGGGCACTGGGCGCCTGCCCTTGAAGTGCCGCGGTCGGTAGTAGCTGGGCCGGGGCAGGGGGCCCACCGCGGACTCGGGGAA